TATTAGTCATATGTCAGTTGTGGGGAATGTTTTAGAAATTCTGATAAAAGATGCTATGCAAAGACATTTAACAAAGTTTAGAATTTCACCGGATAGTCAACATGGTTTCACTAAGGGAAAATCTTGCTTTATAAATCTTTTGAAATTCTTTGAAAAGGTTACTGCTTATGTAGATGAAGGTAAAGGAATAGATTTGGTGTATCTGGATTTTCAGGAAGCATTTGACAAGGTGCCACATAAAAGGCTTCTAAAAAATTATCTCTATAGGTATGAGAGATAAGTTAATTAATTGTACTGAAGAGTTTCTATATGGAAGAAAGCAGGGAATTGTTTTAAATGGAGTTCAGTCCAACTGCATTAATTTCACAAGGGGGGTACCTCAGAGCTCAGTCTTAAAATGTTTGTTCTTTTTGATTTACGTCAATGAAATAGATGAAGGAATGGTCAATGAATTACTTAAATTTGTAAATGATATTAAGATCTTCATTGTTGCTGGCTGTCAGGAGGATGTTGCTGCTTTAAAAAAGGATTTAGATCATTTAGTGAGTTGGGTAAATAAATAGCAAATGGGTTTTAATTATAATAAATGCAAGATAATGCATGTGGGTTATCATAATTTGAATTATGAGTATAATTTGAAGTTGCATCAAAGCCTATCAAAAATGAGACAGAAAACCCCTGGAAACCCAAACTATTCCATATAAAACTGGAAATACACAAAAGATATATAAAATTTCCATTCCCAGGAACATGCTACATATTGCACCTGAATACACTACATATAACTGAGCAAACATGCTAAATATTGGTGATTTTGGATAAAAGATTTAAACATATGATGACCATGTGTTTGCATATACACCTGTTGTTCTTCTGAGGAAAAGTTGTCCTCTTCTCTACATATAATTAGTATCTTCAGTCTGTTTTAATAAAGGCTGTTTTTAAATAATTCCCAAGCATAGATTTGCACTAATTTTTGACTTATTTTTCACAGCTGTTGATAGGATGCAAATCCACTTCCATCACGGGAGTCTTCCCAGCTTTCCTATTCAGATCATACCTAGCTTAACGTCATAATGATGTGGTGTCATACACATAATGCCATGCCTGATCTAGTCCTGGGAACTCCTTCCTTGATAGGCTTTTATATAGCAAAAAAAGTGATGAAATTTAGGAGTTATTTACACCTATTTTACCAATTAAATTTAACTAAAATGGGAAGGGTCAATCAAAAGAGGAAGTTTGAATAGAGTTGTTTAAACATTTGTTTAACAACAAGTAAAAGCTTGGAATGATCTATTCTTTCATTGGGGGTGTATCTGTGAGCCAGACTAGTATAGGGGAATTCCACTCCACCAATGAAACTTCAGACCAAACCAAGCCGTTATAGTAATGAGGCATCAAAAATAGAAATGGTGTATTTAAGTGTTTTACACTCATAAAAAAGAAGCCTTTCATTCCATAGGTATATTGGTGAGGAGTGGAATTCTCAGAAACTAGTCTGGCTCACAAATACACCCCCAAAGAAAGAATAGACCATTCCAAGCTTTTACTTGTTGTTAAACAAATGTTTAAACAACTCTATTTAATTATACCAGCTGCCTAGTGCTGGCTAACAATACGAAGAATTAAATTGTGG